GCTGCTCCAGGACCTGCTGCCCAGAGAGGAAAAGGAAGGGGCACGGCAGCAGCGCGGGGAGGGGGAGGACGAGGACGACACCGACGACGAGGCAAGGAATTGGAGGAGGAGGAGGAGGATTTGGAGAAGGAGAAGGCGAAGGAGGAGGAGGAGGAGGAGGAGGAAAAACGCCACAGGTCACCCTCAGGTCTGCTTAACGTAAAGGAGGAGGAGGAAGAGGAGGAGGAGGATGAGGAGGAGGCAGAAGGAGGAAGGAGGAGGAAATGAAGCAGGAGGAGGAAGAGGACAAGGTGAGGAGTTGGAGAAAAAGGGGAGCAGGAGTAGAAGCAAGGAGGAGGAGGAGGAGGAGGAAGAGGAACAGGAGTGAGGAGGAGGAGGAAGCGGAACATGAAGGAGAAGGAGGAGGAGAAGAGAAGGAGGAAGGATGAATATCGAAGACGCAGGAGTAGGAGCGGGCGAGGGGGGCGACGAGGAGATGGGGAGTTGGGGTTGGATGAGAAGAGGAGGAGGAGGAGGCGGAGGAGGAGGAGGAGGAGGAGGAGGGGAGGAGGAGGGGGAGGGGGAGGAAGAGAAGGAGGAGGATCAGATCGAGGAGGAGGAGGAGGAGGCGGAGGCGGGGAGGGCGACGACGAGGAGATGGGGAGTTGGATGAGAAGGAGGAGAAGGAGGTGGAGGAGGAGGAGGAGGAGGAGGAGGAGGAGAAGGATCAGATCCAGGAGGATGCGAGACAGAGAGGCAGCGCGCGCGGAGCGGGCGGAGGACCCCGCCGCCCGGAGCGCCCTGGCCCGACCGAGGTCCTGCGCGACCGGAGCGGCAAGATCATCGGCGGCGGAGACGCCCCGGAGCCGCCGGGCGCAGAGGAGGGGCCGCCGCCGCCCCCCCCTTGGCCGAGAAGCACGCGCTTCTTCCTTCTCCTCCTCCTCCTCCTCCTCCTCCTCCTTCGTCGGTCTCCTCCGCATTTCTTCCCTTCGGAGGCTGGCCGGTAGCCGCAGCTACGGGCACTTATTTGCGCCACTATTTGCTAGCCCGAGCCGCTGGACATGCTGGCGCACCTCCGAGCGAGTCGGGTCGCGAGCCTTCCCTCCGGCCGTGCTCCTGCAACCACCACTCCGCTTCGCCGCGGCTTCTTCGGCCCCCCCGCTCCCAGGGGGCCGGCCCATCTTCCCGTGGTTAGAGAGGCGACTAGACGTCAGAGTGCCCTTTCGCTGGAGTGACCTTTGGTGCGGGTCAACTGGGGCCCCCCGATCGCCGAGCGCGAGGCGGCAATGGCGTCTTGCGCGCTGGCTTTTGGCCCCCCTGCGGCCCCCCCAAAACCGCGCACCAAACGTCACTCTTACCCACGGTCACTCTTGCGTGTGGTCGAGAGACGCACTGCATCATCGATGCGTGCGGCCTAGGGTCGCACAGTGTGCGCCAAGTGCCCACCACCTCAACCACCGCACATCCCCCTCCTCTCCTCCTAATCCTCTCCTCCTCATCCTCTTTTTGCTCTCCCTCGTGGTCGCTCGCCCACGCCGTGGGTATAGAGCCCGGTCCTGAGCTGGAATATTCACGTGCCCGTGGCATCAAGTTCATGGCTTGGCTTTTCATACCGATCACAAGCTCAAGGCAGAGTGTGATGCGCGAGGGAGCGTCCCGCCCCCCCCCGCAATCCAGTGCACGATCCGGGCAGCAGCGAGAACCGCCATCGGTTGCTGACCGCGCTGCCGCGCCGTATGTCCGAACCCATTCGGTACGGTGGCACCTCCTCCTCCTCCTCTTTTCGTTTTCTCCTCCTCCTCCTCCTCCTCCTCCTCCTCCTCCTCCTCCTCCTCCTCCTCCTCCTCCTCCCCCTCCGCCAGCACGCGCCGTCCCCGTCAGCCTCCCGTGTTATCTTCGTCCTCCTCGTCCTCCTCCTCTCCATCTCCACTCCTCATCTGCCACGCCTCTCCATTGCTTATCCTCCGTGTCCCCCTCCCCCTCTTCGCCGCTGTCGCCATCCTCTACGCTCCCTCGTCCTCCTGTCACTCTTCGTCTCCTCATGACGGCAGGTGCGTCAAATATCAAAGCGGTGTGCCATCATGCGCCGCTCCGAAATTGCAGCAGGTATGGCAAATTAACTTTTCATCCCCGATGGCCACAGGGACCTACATTAACGGCTTACGTCCAGCAGGACTTCAAATCGTGTGTGCCTGCTGTACCCTGTGACGCCCCTCGAGGGGATAGAAGCCAATTGGATGCAGCTTACACTGTGGAGCGCTGTGACATCCATATTCAGTATTCGAGTATACCCCCTCTCTGCCACAAAACTAAACGATGACAATTCCATTCCGTTTCAACATTCACGTTTGGTCGTCCACGTTGCAAACTGCGTGGCGAGAGTTGGACGGGGCGCACAAACCGCGCGGAAGGCCGAACTATCGGTCTCGCTTCGGCGCCGCGCCAATTTTTCTGATGAATGGAGCTCCCGCTTTGGCGCGGTGCACAAATGTCGCACGCGTGCTCGTCGACGCGCGTGCGGACGAACCTGTCACTCTCGCCCCGGCGCTCGCACACTTCGCCTGCAAGGGGACGCTCCCGCCTCGGAGTGGCATATATGGTCCAGGGCTTGGCCCCCCCCCCCCCAATGCTGATGCCATTGGCCCACCCATCCCCCCCGCGCGATGGTCCCCCCCGCCCCCCCCTGTGGGCGTGGCGTGGTGCTGCGCTGCGGTGCCCCCCCCCCCCTCTGTGGACGTGGTGTGGTGCTGTGGTGGTTCAGAGGTGGGCGTGGCGTGGTGCTGCGCTGCGGTGCCCCCCTCCCCCCCCCTGTGGATGTGGTGTGGTGCTGTGGTGGTTCAGAGGTCGTCGTCGTCGTCGTCGTCGTCGTCGTCGTCCTCGTCGTCCTCGTCGTCCTCGTCGTCCTCGTCGTCGTCGTCGTCGTCGTCATCGTCGTCATCGTCGTCGTCGTCGTCATCGTCGTCGTCGCCGTCGTCATCGTCGTCATCGTCGTCGTCGCCGCCGCCGCCGGCGGCGTCGTCGCCGCCGCAGCCGTCGTCGTCGTCGTCGTGGTCGTCGTCGTCGTCGTCGCCGTCGTCGTAGTCGTCGCCGTCGTCGTCGTCGTGGTCGTCGTCGTCGTCGTCTCTGGGACCATACCATCTGGGGGGGGGCCCGAGGAATCCTGGGGCCATACCATCTGGGGGGGGGGGGCCCGTGAACCCTCGACCCTGGATCATATATCTAGGCCTCCTAGATGGGGTCAGAGTAGATGGGGTCGGAGGATCGCGCCGCATCGCTGATGCATCGCCGATGCGGCTCGATGTGCAGCCCGATTTGCTGCACGTCGACGTCGCCGGTGCATCGCCGACGTCGCCGATGCATCGCTGGTGCATCGCCGATGCGGCTCGATGTGCAGCCCGATTTGCTGCACGTCGACGTCGCCGGTGCATCGCCGACGTCGCCGATGCATCGCTGGTGCATCGCCGATGCGGCGCGATCCTCCGACCCCATCCACGCCGACACCATCGAGGAGGCCTCTAATCCAGTCGGGGCCCTGAAGAAGGAACCCTTTTCGTTGGGGAGGGGCTCGGTGTTCCTTGATTGTTCTGCAGTTTGCCTTCGGTTTTCCTTAGGTTTCCCATGGGAAATCGAAGTTCAACTTATGGGAGAAAGGGGCCTCGTTCCTTATTTGGAGTTCCTTAGGTCAATGCCCCCACTGTATTTTTTTCCACTGGCCACTTGTGGAGGGCCCGCGGGGGAGTGGGCGACTGGCCGCCCGCGCCCCGGGTGCCGTGCGCATGTCGCTCGGAAGCGGCGCCCCAGCGCGTGTGCGGTGCACGGCGCGCTCGCCGAAGTGTGCGGTCGGGAGCCTTGAGACGGGGGTCAATGCAAACGGGGGTCAGCCAGGGCGCCAGAGCCTGCAGGATCCTGCGAAGACCCCCTCTGACTGACCCGAGTTAGCGAGCCGCTCGTGGCCGCGAGGCGGCCGCTCGTATTGGCTGGCCTGGGCTTGCGAAGACCTGCGTTGCTGTTTTTGCTTCTTGCATTTCAGTTTTTGGTTTCCTGCTGACCCGGGTCTGGATCGACCCGGGTCAGAAGATCCCAGATACCGGACACGGCGCCCGCGAGCGGGGCCGCGCGGAAGCGACCGAAGTGCCGACCTCGCCCAAAACGCCGCGCAGCTCGTGTATGAAAGCGGCGGTGCCGAGCCAGCGCGGCGCATGCTGGAAGTCGGGCGTGTGCCTCTGCAGGGGGAATATTTCAAAATAGTCAAAGCACAGTCCAGGGACGATTTTCCGTCCATGTTTGACTACTTTTGCGTATTTCTGGATTTGTTTAGGGGTTTTCAACTGTTCTCCCCGAATCCGCCTGTAGAAGGACATGCCCGATCTAACGCGTGCTTCGTTTTCGCCGCGCCCATCGGAAGTTCAGCCGCTCCCGCCCCGGCCCGCGTAGTCTTCTCTCCGCGAAGTCGTTGGAAGCGGTGCCGCGCGCGAGAGCGCTTTCCGTCTACGAGGTGGGGGCGCGTTCCTCTCCCAATTCCAAGGTGTGTAGGCGGGGCCCCCTGACTCGCTCGACCTGGCTTGAAGACATTCCGCATACGTGAAGTGGTCTCTGCGAGACGACCTGATCACAGGGGAACGCAATCAGATACACCATGGTTGGCGAATGCGGACGCATCGACGCCAGGAGTGTTGCACAGGATCGCCAAGCCGCAGAGGAGGCACGAACACGAGTACATCAGAGACGGGGTGAAAGCCTCGAGCCATACGGCAGAGGGCGAAGGAGGTACCCACGCCACCTGGACTCTCGAGGCCTTCGGCGCGGCGGTGCAAGGAGCGCCCAACAAGGGCAAAGGCACGGACCAGATGAACATGGACGACGTCAGGAGGCTCCCGCCTGCTGGCAGAGAGGCTTTCGCCAGGATGTACAACAGCTGTGGGGAGAAGATTACGTGGCCATGGCAGGTGCACTGCAGGCGCTGGTCATGCTCCAACCGAAATACGGCGAGAAGCAGGACGACACTGCCCTGACGGGCGGAGGAGACCGCGCGATGGCGCTACCATTTGGTTCGCCAGAATCTGTGAGCTGCTCAGCCGCGAGCAGGTCGGGCACTGGACGCGGCATATGGAGGAGGGTTGCGACGCGGCGATGGCAGGGAACTCCTTCCTGCGTGAGGCCATGGTTCGGGCGCTAGGCGACGAGACCTCGCAGGAGCTGGGTTCGCACTCTGCGAACGCGCTGGTGGATGTCAACAGTTTCCATGGCTCGCTGCTGTTCGCCAAGGTGGTCAGGCGCGCGGCGGAGCACGGCTTCTTGCCGAAGGTCCTAGCCCTGGCGATGCTCCTCCACCTCGCCCCAAGAATGTTGAAGGAGATGGATGCGCGCAGCTTGCCGCTGTGCGCTATGAGGAGCTTGCTCGCAGGCTCCAGGCACAGCAACAACCTGGCCAGGACGCTGGTGTACCACGTGGCCAGCCAGCTGTCCAGCAAAGTGCAGGAGATGCAGCCCAGGACGTGGTTCGACGACATCGGGCTGCGTGCGGTGGTTAGCCTCAGGGCGGTAAAACGAAATTGTCGTGAAGGCTGCGAAGACCTTGAAGAAGGAGCGGGCGGTGGAAGGACCCACGGTGGCGAGCAAGTCTGTTATCTTCACGACGGACTTCTGCACGACGAAGCAGGCGGCGAGGGAGTTCAGATATGCAGGAGTCACACTGAAGGTGGCGGCGGAAGGGCGCGACCTAGGGTTGGACAAGGGAGGCGACAAATGTGCGAGACGGGCTACGCATGCAGCGGGAAGGAAGAAGAGCGTCATACTATTCACGGCAGTGGCTAAGAAGCTGAGGAGGGCACGGGCAAAACGGCAGGTGCTGGAGCAAGGGCCCATGGCGTCAGCCGGCTACGGCGCCAGGGCATACGGCGCGTCGCCCACTGAACTGACGGAGAGCAGGGGGAGGTACGCACGAGGGCTACGGAAAGCGCGACCAGGGCACTGCCTTTCAACGCTGCTCCACGTGGATGGGGGCATACCCAGAGGTGGGTATGCCTCGCGGACAAATCCAAGCAAGGTTGAACTTATGGGTTGCTCGACCCGAGCATCGAGCTGGCGTTGCGAGGGCATGGCCTGGGACGCGTGAGCGACAAGAGGCAGCCAGACCAAGTGCCAGATGAACCCAGAGGCGCGGCATCATCGGCTCGGTGATCCTGCAGCTATGGGAGATAGGCTGGGACGCACCGCAGGCTGGCTACTGGGTCGACGCTGATTGTGGAGGATGGCAGCTAAGACCCGAGGAGGCTGACGGGGGCCCCACCAACCTGCTGGATGCCATAGTTGACGACATCCGGAAGAATATTTGGAGGAGCGCTGCGAAACACCACAACGGCTCGGGGCTCGAGAATGGGGCTGGCACGCACGGCCTGAAGTGCCACCTGCGCAAGCTGAGAAAGCGCGGGCGCCGCCAAAAGTTCGGGGGCGTTCCTGATTGCAGCGCGCGCTGGGGTCTGGTCACCCCAACGGCGGCATGGCGCGTTCGGAGACGATGCGCGCCAGTTGAGCCAGCGAGGGCAGGTGGCGGACGACTGCCGCTTCATCTCGGGCAAGTGCGAATGTAGGAGCAACCGCCCCATCTACGCAAGGACGGACCACCTGGTCGTCGGGGCCGCTGCTGGGATGGAGGGCGCTGCATTTTTCTGGCTGCGAGGGATCGCGCCACGAAGCTGGGCGCGCCCTCCGCCGTGCGAGACCGAGCTCAGCGCAGCGAGATCTGGCAGAGCGCAGGTCGCCAGCACGGGCTAGAGGATTGCGGCCCTTGCAGGTGACCACCTCGGTACCGGAGGAGACGGCAGTGGAGGAGAACGCTCTGCTGACGCGCGATGCCGCGCTGAGGATGCGTTTGGGCTTCGTCGCCGATGGAGTGGATGGGCGGACGGTAGAGACACGCAGGAGACAGTGCGGGGCCATTGCCAGGCCCAAGACAAAGCGACAACGCAGCTGAGATCGCCGCGTTCCTGGGCGCGCTCGAGGCGACGAGGGGGGATTTGAAGTTCTGGGCTGCTTCGGAGATGCTCTAAGAACTACCGCCGTGGACATGGCGGCCCGTGGAGAAGAGTGACGCAGGCTCTCCGAGACCGCGGCGCAGCCGAGATTGGAGCGTCGCGCATCGAGCGCCATGCGAGCTCGCTGGACGCACTGCTGAGACACAGCAGCTGCCGCCAGCAGAGCTGAATTGCTACGAGTGGGTCAGAGCGACGCCCATGCTGACTGGGCAGAGGCAGATCCCAGCCCGCGCCGAGCTGTTCAACAGGGGCAAACCGATCACCTGGGAGGAGAAGGAAGCGGCCAGATCGCGATGGCAAACAAACGTATCGATCCCACCCTCGATTGCGCCAGAGCTGAAGGCACCCCCGCGCCTGTTGATCACAGGCGGCGGCAAGTGGATACGTCAGAGATGCACGCAGACGATGAGCAAGAAGAAGAGAGGGCTAGTTGCGAGATGGTGATTCAGAGCCTTCCGTGGAGACTCCGCGGCCGCGTCCTTCGACAGCTCCGAGAAGCGGGCTGTGGCGCCAGTGGCGGGGGAGAAGACTCTTGCGCTGAAAAGGGGGGCTGAGCCACCGCGCGCGTGTCGTATGCTGGTCGAAGAACGTCGAGAGGCATTTCTGGTGGGAGTGCGGGGCGACGGCGAGACGGCACCTCGGCCGGAAGATGACGGAGAAGTGCGACGGCTGGCCGAGTGGAGTGGCCAGCAGAGATGCGCTGAAGGAGCTGGGGAAGAAGTTATAGTTGGCCCCTGGGGGGGGGGGCGCAGAGTTCAACGACGCCTGCGAGGTGCTGCTGCAGCCGCTGCATCTCGCTCCCGCCAGGGCGGTTTGGGCCAGCCTTCTCGCGCGCCGCGCGCCCGCCGCTTGAGCGAGCAACCAGCCCAGGTCGACTGACCTTCGTACCAAAACTCAAGAAAGCAACTCGCTTCAGGTGGCCCTTGCTGTCAGCAAGCGCGAGTCTTCAGATGCGCCGCGTGGGCCGTCGTGGTTGTGAAACAAACCCAGGCAGAGAACCTCCTTGCGATCGTGGGGCCCCTGTCGCGGGATGCGCTTTCTCCGGCCCCGGCGTTCGCAGAGCACTTGGGTTATGTTTTACCGGGGCAGATTCTGGACAATGGAACCCGCGTAGGCTTAGACTGCGCTGCAGTAGTAGCACAGGGTCAGAGGCCCTCGAGCACCAGATAACGTTTTACATCAAGTCGGCTAGTAATGACGTGAGGTTGCTTGCTCGTAAGTTGTCTGGAGCCGCCAACATGTCGGTGACCAGGCATGTTGAAGCCTACCGCAGTGATGACGTAATCAACTAGCTCGGAGGGCTGAATTCAGGCTTGCGTCTGCGAGTCGTGCGCTTGGCAAGCATGCCAAGTTAGCGTTCACCATGCGCGCAAACCCGAATCCAGATTTCCTCCAGAGCGCTGGGTTGGCCCAGAGTAGTAGTAATCACTTTCTTAAGCTGGCAGCAGCAGCATTGTTGCGAATCTTCCAGATTCAGAAAACTGGACAAGGCGCCAATCACGCCGGCGAGCTCTGGACATGGGGGTTCATAGGTTTCACAACTGGGTGCAGCCGTTTGCGGGTCTCCAGCACAGCTGGGAACAATCGCCGCCAATCACAGTCTGCAATGGGACCCTACCCTTTCTAGGTAGGTTTTTGCAGGACCCCAGACGACAGACTATTGTTGCGGTTACAAGTTCGGGTTTCACGAGGTCGGCCGCACCGGATTGGAGCACCTCGGCGACGCCCCAGCTGAATTGCCTCTTCTGCATGAGCATGAACGTTTGGCGCGTCATGCGCCTGCTGCGGGCGGTTGGCCCCGAAATCCTGCAAGCTGCCCTCGTCGACTTCGGCGAGCGCTAATTAGGGGCTCGCGTTGGCGGCGCTGTTCGGAGGCCGGTTCCCCGCGACGTGCCAGGAGCGAGCGTCCTGCGGCGCAGGTGACGGGGGCCTTTGCTTCCGCCGCGCGGCCGACGCTAGCTTCCTCGCATTCTTGCCCAGCCGGTGCGGTGCGGTGCGGTGGGTGGTCCAGGGGCGGTCCAGGGGCGGTGCGGTGGGTGGTCCAGGGGCGAGGGGCCAAGCTGGGCAAGGCCTGTCGCCTACCCACCAGGAAAGGAGCAGATATTGTGGAAGCCTTCAGGCAAGGCCATGTGGCCCAATCCCAGGATCCTTTCTCTGCTGGGTCAGGCCATTCCACTTGCAGCAGTCGAGGTTGATTCCGTCTCCCGTGCTGCCGCGCGTCAGGTTGCGACAGTTATTGTCCTTCGTGCGGTTCCGCAAGAACCTGTCGGCCCATAGAATGTTGTACCGTCCTGCGAGACCCGCACCATGGATCGTTCGACGAAATCATGGCCAAATGCGCCAAGCAATATTATGCTTGTTCCGCTAAGTTGTGTAGTCGTGTGGTTGTTCATTGCATCGTGCATCGTGCATCCTCTTTTTCGTCCTCCTCTCGTCCTCGTGAGTGTTGTTTTTCTTTCTCCTCCTTCCCCCTCCTCCTCCTGTTTTTTTTTCCCCCGACCATCCTGTGGTGATGGGTCCTCGTTTTGAAAAGACAGTGCCCCGCGCTCCTCTCCTTTCCTCCTCCTCCCCTTCCTCCCTCCTCCCATCCCTGCCTCTGCTCTCCGCATGTCCACCCATACCGGCACACCCCTCACACGCTTCGCGGCCCCATAGGGGGCTCCACCAAAGGCCCCAGTGGCACCGTTCACATGCGTCCGCCACGCCCATGTCGGCGCACCCATCACATGTTTCGTGGCCCCATAAGGCGGTCCACCCAAGGCCTCAGTGGCACCCTCCACATGCGTCCGCCACACCCAGTTCCGGCACACCCCTCAATCGTTTCGTGGCCCCATAGGGCGCTCCACCGAAGGCCCCAGTGGCACCGTCCACATGAGTCCGCCACATTCATTTCGGTACACCCCTCACGCGTTTCGTGGCCCCATAGAGCGCTCCACCCAAGGCCCCAGTGGCACCGTCCACATGCGTCCGCCGCGCCCATTTCGGCACACCCTTCACACGTTTCGTGGCCGGCCACTGGGCGCTCCACCGAGGCCCCAGTGGCACCGTCCACATGCGTCCGCCGCACCCATGTCGGCACACCCCTCACATGTTTCGAAGCCCCAGAGGGAGCTCGACCGAAGGCCCCAGCGGCACCGTCCACATGCGTCCACCATATTCAGTTCGGCACAACCCTCGCACGTTTCGTTGCCCAGTAGGGAGCTCCACCCAAGGCCCCAGTGGCACCGTCCACATGCGTCCGCCACACCCATGTCGTCACACCCCTCACACGTTTCGTGGCCCCATAGGGAGCTCCACATGCGTCCGCCACGCCCATTTCGGCACACCCGTCACAAGTTTAGAGCTCCACCCAAGGCCCCAGTGGCACCGTCCACATGCGTCCGCCAAACCCATGTCGGCACACCCCTCACACATTTCGTGGCCCTGTAGGGAGCTCCACCCAAGGCCCCAGTGGCACCGTCCACATGCGTCCGCCACACCCAGTTCGGCACACCCCTCACGCGTTTCGTGGCCCCATAGGGAGCTCCATCGAAGGCCCCAGTAGCACAGTCCACATGTGTCCGCCACATTCATTTCGGCACACCCCTCACACGTTTGGTTGCCCAATAGGGAGCTCCACCCAAGGCCCCAGTGGCACCGTCCACATGCGTCCGCCACACCCATG